TTACAGTTTTACAATAGTTGTCAGGCTACAATCAACTCAGTTATCAGGTACTTGGTGCCATAAAAAACGACAAATAGAACAATTATATTCAGTCTCTCTTGTAAATGAGTCCTCGTGGCTCAATGGGACGAACCTGTTTAAATAAAGGTTGAATTAATATCTTCTATAGAAATCATGAATTCATCCAGATGATCTGAGGTAAGCTGGAGCAGATCTGAACTGCTGGAGGACAAGGTGGAGCATTATCCTGCAGAGAACATCAGAATAACTTTATAACAGGAGTTACTCTGATCTTTTTTAACGTGTGTAACGTTATAAAACACTGACATGGCTATATTGATCACTGTATTGCATATAAAAAAAATTCTAACAAATGTGTGTTTGCAGTCTTGTTTCCTTCTAAAATTTAATGATAAATGTATCAGCCGCTTCTAAAAATGCTTTGATAAAATGCATAGTCTGTGAAATAATCAGTAATCGGTTCGTTACTGCTCAATAATTACTGAAAGACACAGGTAAAGTAAGAAAAGTCGATTTTTGTGTTATGTTGCTCCAGCAGCCTCAGACTGACTGACAGGATGAACTGTTTGGAACTATTGGAGCTGCATGAACCACGTGACCGCGTATCGGCGAGTTCAAAGAGTCGCAGCTCTCTCTTTACAGGGCTCTGAAAGTCAGTAAGTCATCGGACAAACTCTTTCTACCACCACATCCTTAAAGATACACATACGTATTGTATAGATATGAAAATGTAGGTATTTCTGGCACCTTACCACCAGTATTTCTGGTGTGGCTGTAGGAGTTTTGCTTAAATTAGACATTTTTAAAGTTATTGAGTTGACATTTAATGTGATGATAGTTGACAGCAATGCCCAATAATTACTGAATTGTAAAAAATCCAAGATGGCCACCAAAGCACAATTTAAATGGCTTTAATTCAACTATTTTTAGATATATAGAGCTGAAATTTAGGTTGTAGCTGACAATGTTTCCCATCTCGTACTGAATCCAAATCAAAACATCCAAGATGGCCACCACAGCTTAAAAGAAAAAAAGTCTAACTCCTTGATTTTTATTTTTTTTTCCATATTGAGTTGAAATTTGGTACGGTGGTAGCTGAGAGGGAACATTCACTAAAAATCTAATCAAAATTTTAAAACGGCTGCCCCGTGGCAGTCCCTGTCAACGTTTCTCCAGGAACTTTTTTCTCTCTCTTCTTGTGATCGGTCCTGAAACGGCCTCAGAAATCTTGTCTGTGAGCTCTGAGGACTGTTCTTCTGTGGAGAAGTCTAATATTGTCAGAAGCAGTCAGTGTCAGCTGGTACTCACAGTCTGAGCTGAGGCCTTCAGCCAAAAGCAGAACTGGATGGTTTCATTCATTGGACACAAAAGGCCCTTTTCATCTGCAGCTCAGTGAGTAACTCAGAGAGGCTCTCATAGTTCACACACACAACACTCCAGTCATGCCTGCTTTATCATCATCTAATCATTTTGTGTACAATTCTTAATGTGATGGGCTTTTTTTGTTTTTACCAAGTTTAAATTGGATTCATGTGCTTCCTACCAAAAATAATTTTAAAAAATGTCATCAAACTGAGCGCACAGAAACATTTTCCTCTCGGTTTGTAGCTTGTGGGTTCAGGGTGCTGCCTGTTTAATCAGGGCCAAGCAGAGTTTTGTTTTCGTCAAGTGGGCTTCAGATAAAGCTGCCTGCTTCCTCTGAAATTCAACAAGCTGACAAAATGATTCCTGAGGAGAAGTGACCTATAAATGCTACTGAACATTAAAATACATGTACAGTATGAATGCCTTCTCTTTAACATTTTAGTTTTCTTAAATATAATTGTTAAATGAAAGAAATGGAGAAATACAAAATTAATGAAAGCTGCAAGCAGCTGGAGGCCCTCGCAGCAAAGCGCCGCTCCGGTCTTACGGCGACCGCGGGAGCTCCAGCTAGTTCACCCAGTCGCCATCACGAACGCTCTCGTGTCAATCCCGCACGTGTTCACCAGGGGGCGCATTTCCAGAATCTTCAACATCACCTTTCGTCCATGTGAATCCTTGTCCAGCTGCAGGTCTTGCAAGTATAGGTGAAATCCGACCTTCCAGACAGGAGTTACTGTGACTTGCTGTTTTGTGCGAATGCTTGACGAGCACTTCCTTCATGCTTTTCAACATGTCGTGTGTGGTAATCAACAGTTGGCGAACAAAGTTCCAGTCTAATATCGTACACAGGGCGAAGCTGGAAGAGTCATCCAATACTCGACAGTTTTTTATAAGAGTGGGCGGGACTTAAGTGATGTCATGAATCAACAATACCAACGTGTCTACAAGTGCTCACTAATGAAGCACAAAAAATCAGGTCCAGATCCAATGATGTATCACTGTGACATAACTGTTGGAATAATGTAGGGGGCACTGTGGAGGCTATTGGCCACTTATCATGGATTCCTGTTCAAGGGGCAGATAATGATCAATCATAATGATTTTGGTGCACCTCGGCTCAAATCTGTGCAATTTAGAGCCAAACGTATTGCAACGGTGTCACTTCTTAATTCGTCACGCTGCCACGCCCACATCCTCCAGCAAAAACGGTTTGTAATTTAAAGTAAGTCAGACCAACTTGTTATGTCTTCTGACACAGGATCATCCTGATTAGGTCCAGGGTGTCAGAGAGGGAGCATTCCAAGTAAAAAATAAAAAAAAAAGGGGGGCTTGCTGTTCTGAGGGGGCGGGGCACTGATGACATCAAAATATGACCACAGAGGATCGTCGGGCATCCAACAGGGATGACTCATGCCAAGTTTGGTGCATTTCGGTCTTTCAATGGGAAAGTTATAGCGGTTGGAAATTAACAGCGTGAATCTAAAAAAGTTAAATCTGGTCCTCTGGACATTCAAAAAAGAAATTGTAGAAAAGTTTTATCTTTCATCCGAAAGACTTCTTCAGTCTGAGATGCTCTTTTCAGCTCAGTCTCTTAAATAGCACCTTCTCAGAGTGGATCAACCAGTTTGCTGCTGACAACCAGAACCAGCTGCTCACATGGTCAAGAAGGACCATCAGCCTAACAATGGATCATTAGCACCTGATGGCTGTTTACTGTTCACAGAGGGCTGAGTGATACTACAAACCGGATTCCAAAAATGTTGGGACACAAAACAAATTGTGAATAAAAACTGAATGCAATGATGTGGAGGTGCCAACATCTAATATTTTATTCAGAATAGAACACAAATCACAGATCAAAAGTTTAAACTGAGAGAATGTTTCATTTTAAGGGAAAAATATGTTGTTTCCAAATTTCATGGTGTCAACAAATCCCAAAAAAGTTGGGACAAGTCCATTTTTCCCACTGTGTGGCATCCCCCCTTCTTCTTACAACACTCAACAGACGTCTGGGGACAGAGGAGACCAGTTTCTCCAGTTTAGAAATAGGAATGCTCTCCCATTCATGTCTAATACAGGCCTCTAACTGTTCAATCGTCTTGGGCCTTCTTTGTGGCACCTTCCTCTTTATGATGCACCAAATGTTCTCTATAGGTGAAAGATCTGGACTGCAGGCTGGCCATTTCAGTACCCGGATCCTTCTCCTACGTAGCCATGATGTTGTGATTGCTGCAGAATGTGGTCTGGCATTATCGTGTTGAAAAATGCAGGGTCTTCCCTGAAAGAGATGACGTCTAGATGGGAGCATATGTTGTTCTAGAACCTGAACATAGTTCTCTGCATTAATGGTGCCTTTCCAGACATGCAAGCTGCCCATGCCACAAGGACTCATGCAACCCCATACCATCAGTGATGCAGGCTTCTGAACGGAGCATTGATAACAACTTGGGCTATCCTTGTCCTCTCTGGTCTGGATGACATGGCGTCCCAGTGTTCCATAAAGAACTTCAAGTCGTGACTCATCTGACCACAGAACAGTCTTCCATTTTGCCACACTCCATTTTAAATGACCCCTGGCCCAGTGCAAACGTCTGAGCTTGTGGCGCTTGCTTAAAATGGCTTCCTCTTTGCACTGTAGAGTTTCAGCTGGCAACAGCGGATGGCACGGTGGATTGTGTTCACTGAAAATGCTTTCTGGAAGTATTCCTGAGCCCATTCTGTTATTTCCTTGACAGTGGCATTCCTGTTTGAGGTGCAGTGACGTTTAAGGGCCCGGAGATCACGAGCATCCAGTAGAGTTTTACGGCCTTGACCCTTACGCACAGCGATTGTTCCAGATTCTCTGAATCTTTTGATGATGTTATGCACGGTTGATGATGATAACTTAAAAGTCTTTGCTATTTTACGCTGGGTAACACCATTCTGGTATTGCTGCACCATCTTTCTGCGCAACAATGGTGGAATTGGTGATCCTCTTACCATCTTGGCTTCTGAGAGACACTGACACTCTGAGAAGCTCTTTTTATACCCAATCATGTCGTCAATTGACCTAATTAGTGTTAATTGGTCTTCCAGCTGTTCGTTGTATGTTCAATTTCCCTTTTCCAGCCACTTATTGCTACATGTCCCAACTTTTTGGGGATTTGTTGACACTGTGAAATTTTGAATCAACATATTTTTCCTTTAAAATGTTACATTTACTGAGAATAAACTTTTTATCTGTTCATCTATGTTATATTACGAATAAAATAATGACATTT